CCATCAACACTACAGCCCCATCAGGGCAGGATAAAGTGTACAAGACACTGCCCAATCTGCCCTCAAGATCAAGTCAGAGCAAACAAAGCATGCAGTCACAGAAATGTTTTAAATTACCACAGCACAGCTTGATGCTTTGGGTAACCATTCTCCTCTAGAAAATTATACCCTAAATTTGCCCAACTACTAAATTCAAAATTCATATTAATGACCACAAACTCTTCAAATCATTCCCTGACCAAACCAAACCAAAACAGAGTAAGTCATTTTCTCTTCTAAAAATATTTCTATCATAACACCATGCAATATCATAATTTATTGGATTCTATAATTGCCTCCTTCTTCCCAACCCAAGAGGAAGCCATTTAGACAATAATTCTGTTTTATTTACCTATTTACCTTATACCTGAGGAGCAGCAGGTATAGAATTCAATTTGTTTAACTAACAAATACTTTGCTATATTTACTACTGTGATTAAATGGTAAGTCAGGCAGCATGTTTAAATTATGAGTAACATTTAGATATCTTAAATGGAATTTTAATAGTTTTGTAGTTATCAAAAATATAAAATATGTGGCTATGCATTGTCCATCCAGTCTGTGTACTAGGATGCACCAAGTAACACAATCAAGAAGCTCTGCTTCGATCTATATTCCAAATACATGCCCTATAACTCTCATTTTGTTCTCATAATAGCACTCTAGAAAAGACATGCACATGTGCTATCTTCTTTTTCTGACTTATTTCCTTCTTCAGCCAGCTGACATAGAGCATTTTTACCCACTCATTTGCCAAAACTGCTAGAGCAAAGCCACCCGTTGCCTCTTCGCTCCCAAAATCAAGGTGCACTTTAAATGTGTTCAGTTATTTCTTGATTTTCTGTCTCATATACCACGTTGGACATCCCACATGAATATTTTATTGCCTTGATTCTGGTCATCCTTGTTTTTAAGCATGTATGTAACTGCATCTGGGTTGTGCAGTGCCCATAGGGTTCAGAAGAGGATGTCAGATCCCCTGGAACTGGAGCTACTGATAGTTGTTAGCTGCCATGTGGTGCTGGGAACTGTACCAGGGTCCTCTGCAGGAGCAGTCCATGCCCTTAGTCACTAAGCCATCTTTCCAGCCCCCACATCCTGATTTTTAAACCATTATTTATCAACTTTATTGGGAATCTTCTTCCTTGTTCCATTCTTTGAATGCTCAAGTCCCTCCACTCGACCTCTTTCTCTTTCTCTCTCCCTCTCTTTCTTCTCTCCCCTCCTCTCTGTTGTTTTTAACCTAGGAATCATTTGTGATGTCATATACTACTCCACTTAACTAAGTGCTTTGCATGGCCTCAACTATATACTAAATCTACAAGCTTGAGCAACTTAGAGGCTCCACAAAATCACTATGCCCAAATCTGAACTTACTATTGCTTATCTACCCAAGATTTGGTTTGCATCTTTAACTCAATTTCTTGATCCATGTGTCTATCATCCCATCATGAATTTGGTAGTTCCTCTAAATTCTTTCCTTATAAACATATTAAATTGACTCAAAAGTACTACCAAATGTATTTGATCCTAGCTCTTGAAATGTCTCCTTCCCATACTCTATTACTCCTCTAAGACGTCAGCGTCACTCTATGAACAATTCCAACAGGCTGTTGACTAACCTGTCTCTGATTTTGCTCCTATCATAATCATACTTCATTTTCCTCACTTCAAGCAAAGAATATCTATTTTATATATACAGGTATATATGTGTGCACTGTCTATTGAAAATGGTGACAACTGCACTTTGTATCTAATCTCCAACTGAACATGGACATTCTTGCCACTTTGTATCTAATATCCAACTGAACATGAACTTTAGAAGGAGTGAGACCAATTAAAATGGGACTCTGCAAGACTGGGGAAGTAGCACAGCATTTGCTTTGCATGTGATACCCAGTATTAAAATAAATAGATAAGGAGGTGGGTGATGGCTTAGTCCATAAAGCGCTTGCTGCACAAGCATGAGGACTTGAGTTCTGTTCTCCAGCACCTACATGGCCCAACTGTATGGATCTATAATCCCAGTTCTGTGAGACAGAAATAAGAGGATTCTCTGAGCTCCTTGGGCAGACAATCTAGGCAATAAATGAGTTCCAAGTTCAATGAGAGACTCTGACTTAAAAACTGGAATGGGGATGGGCTGGGGAAGATGGTTCAATGGGGAAGAGCACTTTCTGAGCATGCATGATAACAGGAGTACAAATCTCCAACATCCATATAAAAATGTTGAGTATGGCCACGTGTAACTCCAGCACTGGAGGAACAGAGACAGGAAGATGGGTAGGGCTGCCTGGTCATCCAGCCTCGCTGCAGATTCAGAGAGAGACCTTGTCTCAAGGTGATGAGTCTGAGTGTGATAGAGAAGAACACACTGACATCCTCTCCTAGTTACTGAAAACACATATGTACACTGTGCACACACCACACACACAGATGAGTAGAGAGGAGGGGGACTAACAGAGAGAGAAACAGAGAGAGACAGACAAAGACTGAGAGAGAAGCAGAGAGAAATTAGATGGAAAACGATATATGACATCAACCTTTGGCTTCCACATGTATGCACACAAACGCATGTGCACACACACTCTCCCACACAGATGTGTACAAACAGGAACACATTACACCTTAATTCAGACATGCAAAATAAAATGAAATTACAATAAAGATATTCAGTATATGTGACAAAAACATTTAACATCAACATTAATTCTGCAAAAATGTTTCCAAGAAATTATTTGTTTCCTTCTAGAAGTAAAGTTTTTTAATTTGTAAAACATAAGAAAGGTACAGAGAATCAGAAGTTTTCAGGGAATTAGTCAGTAAAGTCCAGCACAGGAAAATGATTTTATAGTAAGAAGATTATAGAATCCAGATATGGTAGTACATGCCTGTTCCTCTACTTGGGAAGCCGAGGTAGGAGGACAGCTTTAAGCCTAGGAATTTGAGACCAACCTGAACAACACAATGTGACCACCTCATCTTGATATATATAAAACACATACATATGTTTATATAGAGACAGTCTGTGGCATAATCATTTAGGGCACTTATGAGATTTTATTTTTACCAAAGTAATTAGAAATTATTTTAACTATAGCTAAATCAAAGCTATTTTGCTCCTTGGAAAATACTGATTAATGCCAATGATGATATTCAAGCCTATTATTGACATAAAAACCTTTAACATACCTATTGAGCCTCAAATTTTATTGCAAATTGCAATATTTTAAAGCTTACATTATTTATAATTATGTAGGTGCATATAATATATAAAATATAAGCATTTCAACGGGCAAACTGAAGGGAAAAAAACAGGGAGAAGAAATGAAATCAAATAAAATCTGAAGCCAGGTGTGGCAGCACATGCCTTTAGTTCCAGCACTCAAGAGGCAGAAGAAGGTGGATCTCTGTGAGATTGAGACCACCCTGGTCTAAACAGTGAGTTCCAGACAGCTGCGGCTACAGGGAGACTCTGTCTCAAAAAAAAACAAAAACAAAAACAAACAAACAAAAAGCCTCACTAAATAAAATATAAATTAAAAAATAAAATATGTACTTAAATGTGAATTTTGATTAGGTAAAATGTAAAAAAGAACTTCAAATTTTTGCAGAGTATGGGACTGGGGAGATGGCTGCTCTTACAGAGGACCCAGGTTCAATTCCCAGCACCCACATGGTGGCTAACAACTGTCCTTAGCTCCTATTCCAAGGGAATCTGATGCCCTCTTCTGACCACCGCAGGCATTGCACCACACAGGTACACCTACCTACATGAAGACAATATACTCATAAACATAAAATAAATTAAAAAATTTTAAAAACTTTCAGAGTAGAATGACATATTCAGTGCTCTGTATACACATATGCTACTGCTAAGAGAAGGTAATAATCTTGTTTATTTTTGATCATTGCTAATAAAAACTTAAAGTTAGTAACCAAAATTTAACTTTCTCTTCAGAGCCTTTCTACTATACTCCATCAATTTACTGTGTTTTTATATAAAAAAGAATTCTAAGATAGCTAAAGGAATCTATAGAAAATCAATCTGAGGACACAGCTTTTCATAAGATAGCTAAAGGAATCTATAGAAAATCAATCTGAGGACACAGATTTTCAGAGGCTTTTGGTACAAACTTTGGGAGAAGATATTTCCTAGTAATAAGTAATTGGCTATAATATATTTGTGAAGGATATTACTGATGATACAACATCTTGAGGAAAATTTTATCTCTTCTTACTAGGAGCATATTATTTTCCAAGAATTGAATATATCCTGCTACTCTGCAGAATTCTAAGGTTCTTCACATCTCCACAAACTCAGTATCTAAAACCAAAAGTTTGTATGTTTGATTTCTTTTCTACTCGTTAATGTTGCCTTTTGTTGGTCATTTACTCACCATGTGCACCTACACCTAAGAATGCAATAATAAAGTCAAAACTAGACAGACAATGGTTTCAATTGTTCATTGCCTTTAAATACTGTGTCAAGATTGGGTAAAAAGCTTCCTGCTCATTTCCTTTTTGACATACTCCTGTCCCCACTTAGAACCCTATCTGTATCTTGATTCCTTACCACCCTAAAGTCTTATGCTTTAGTTCACATCCATTCCATAATTGGCGATGATGATGATGATGGTGGTGGTGATGATGACGATGGTGATGATGACAGCAATGAAACCCAAGATTCCTGATACTGTAAAGCCCTAAAAACATTTCCCTTCCCTCTAATTAGTCTGCTTCCTGCAATATGATATTAGAAAATCACTGAACAAAGATACTTACTCCAGAGCTCCTGCTTACAGACAATTTTCTCTAATTGAATAGTAGCCTTTTTATTATACATACACCAGGGAAGCCAGTATATCTACTCCCGCATGCAAAGTAAAAGAATAAATCTATAACCAGTGATCTGGTTAATAGATGACATTTTCAGTCAATAAAACCAATGCCATACTTACAGTGGAGGTTGGTGGGACTGGTTTTCAGCATTTCTTGGTGTTTTGCAGGCTGCAGGCTTCGCCATGTCCCTGACAACACACCTGGGGCGCATGATAGACAGCACAATGCACTATTAATTATAAAAGGGTAGAGCACATCTGGAAATTAAACATGGTACTGAAAACACAATCTAAAGGAAAGTATGTGTAAGCCCCATCAATATTAATCTTAGGGCCCTGTAAAGACCCTGTGAATGGGAAATCTTTGACTTGGGCTTCTGAAATCTCAACTATACCCACATAAATTCTACGCTGGTCTCTATATTTGATTTTCCTTTCAGCATCAATAAAATGATTGTGAGTGGTTTTCCCCATTGCAGAAAAGCTACCAAGAGCCTTGGCCTCACCAGATGAAGACACCTGAGCAATTAGAAATAGGAACAGTGGCTGTGTTGATAGGTTAAAAACTGAGCAGGATTTTCTGTGTTTTTGACTGTTCTACTAAAATATATGGACTCTTATTTTACATCATTAAGCAGCACACAAGTTTTCCTGCTTAGACAGAAAGAGATCTAAGGGTTTTCCAGATAGTCTCATATTCCTTCAAACTAAGGAGGAAGAAGTGGAAGAACATGTTCACAACTGAAATGTATGTGTGTGTGTGTGTGTAATAAATCATGCAAAAAGTCTGTACCTTAATTCCTCATCAAAAAATAAATGTAGAGAATATATAAGATAGCAGGAGTCAATAATCTTAACGTCATGCTAACAGGGCTTAAAGCACCAAAGGGATTCATTGGCCCATATTAGAAAACACCTCCATCTGAGGCTATACTTTATTGACTCAGAAAGATCTTCTTTTCAAAAGCTTTAAACCCAACAGGGCTTTGACTAGAGAAGCCTTATAAAACCGAGGCCGGACATTTTAGATTTTTACTGCATGTAAATGTTCTGAGAATCCGGAATCTCACAACATGAGTCCCTGGTTCTTAAGAACTTTCCTGGAGGCTTCTTGGAGATTTAACTACATTGCTCATAATTAAGGCCAATTATATTATTTCAGAAGTAGATCAGTGTTGAGGCTTTTTTTTTTTTCCCAGAGGAAAAGCTGCATGGCAAAATTCTCCACTTCTGAAAGAAACTGAACAGGTAGGCGCAGACACAAGGCACAGAAAGATGCAACACACACACACACACACACACACACACACAGAGAGAGAGAGAGAGAGAGAGAGAGAGACTCTGCTTATTCCAAACAAGAGCAAGAAAGACTCAGAAATCAATACATAATATGAAGAAAAGGAGCCATTTCAAAGTCTCAGTACACCTTCCTCCAGGGATAAAAGGGAAAACTGTAGCATTTCTCAGGAGCTAAACTCTAAATTGACTGACTGGTCAAGAGAAAACAATGAGAGAAACCTTCCCCAGCCCCAACGCCACCACAAAGCCCTAGGCTGTAGTTCGGGTGTAATGAAGAAGGTTACTTATGCAACAGCACTAAGACAATTTGCAGGGAGGCAGCTGTTTGAAGAAGGAATTTTCTAGGACTTTTGAGCCCTGAAACTTTAATCTCACTTTTGCAAGGTGCAATGCCCAGTGACTTCAAATTCTTAACACTGGTAAAATCTTTGACAATTCTCACTCAACTCAAAATAGCATATGCAGCCTGTTTAATCTACATGAGCTGGTTTGTAAAAATATCTGAAAATACCACTAACTTTGAAAAAATTTGAAGAATCTGAGAATCTAGATTCCCCCCTCCCCACCAAATATCAAGAACTTGTACAAAGCTTTGAAATAAAAGAAATCTAACACATGGGGAGTTTTTATTCTTTGAAGTGTCTATTTTATGAGATGCTGAATATCACACACAACAGTAGGTTTTTAAACCAAATATTTTCTCTAACTACAAGACCATGTCTTTTGCAAGAAAACTGTCATCTAATCTCAGGACCCTGTGGTTTGGGTTTAATATTTCAGTAGTTTAGCATTTTACTACTGTCTGCACTTGCTATATAGCTGCTTTCTGACAAAAACTTCTTTTGAATTTCTGAATTTTAATGTTGAATTAAATCATGAAAACAGACACATCATTCTTCAAATGTAAGATGCTTAGAATTAATTTAGATATAGATGTATATTTTATTATACAATTGTTTATAGTTATTGCAAATATTTATTTATTTATTTATTTGTGGTGATGGGGATTGAATCTAGACATTCACTCTACCACTGACCTATATCCCCAATGTGTCTTTTCACTAATTGCCCAGGTTGGTCTTGAACTCACTCTATAGCCCAGACTAGCCTTCAACTTATGACCCTCCTGCCTCATCAGTGACAGGGATTGGAAGCCTGTTTGACTAAAGCAGACTTAGGTGTAATTCTAAAATCACAACAACACCACATTTTTAACACCAGTTTTTAACTGTACCACTGGACATATATTTGCTAGACTGATATACCTGAATCTGAGTTTTGAAAGAAAAAAAAAAAAACAATTTGGTTCAGATGGTTAATTATTCAACCAATTTGAGAGCACTGTTAATCAAGATAATATGTAAGTTTACATTTTCTAATCTGACTTTTTTTTAGATGAAATTTCTTGTAGATACAAGAAAGAAAAAAAAATACCCTGTGTTCAGAAAAAGACATACAGAATATATAATATTCTCCTGGGTTTTTGTTAGCCTAAGTGAATGAACATTCCTTTAAAATTATAATTGAATTGTATCCCACTTTACAGAGATACAATCTTAATAGTTCTGACAATTCTAATATATGGAAGCTGTTCACCCCCAAATTTCAATCATTCCCTATGCGTTAGACTTATAGAAATAAGACTCCCTCATTCTTTAAGAAGCAGAACGGTATTTCAGTATGCTGAAGCTCCTTCCAGGATTCACCTCTCTCACCACACATTAGGAGATGACAAATGCTGCCAGAATGCTCATTTCCTGGAACAGCCACAGTTATGAGGGAGAAAGGGTTCAAGGCCTGTGACCTCTTAATCTTTGTGATGTCTTCAATTACAAAGGGAAAAACCAGATATGGAATCTTAGTCTTCTACTTGCATGGAAGCATCCTGTCATCTCTCAAGCATCACTGAAGACTTATACAAATCTGCTATTCTGCAGCTACCTCGGGGGAATGCCTCTCCTGACTCCGCCCTGAGCACTGCTGGGTTTTATGAATGACTGCAATCAATTCGATGAATGGCTGCCAACTGCCCACTCAGCCACTTCTACCCTTCCCTGCGCGCACTTGCACACACACACACACACACACACACACACACACACACACACACACACGAGAAACTCACATTGCCACAAGCCTGCAGATGAGACTAAGGCAAGGCTTTCAGCTCTCCAAACAGGAACTAAATGTGCTTCCAAATACTGAGTATGTGAATTAAAAATTCTGAATGCCTTCAAGAAACACAATTTACATAATTACTCTCTCTCCCTCATTTTACTTTCTTTTTTGGGGCCTGCAATCACTATCCTCTACCAGGCTTCTCTTTAAAACCACCACCACCACTATTTTATAAAACTTTACCCAGATTTGAACTTTAAGCTGCCTTTTTACAGTTTAAAAAAAAAAAAAAAAAAACACCTTAAAACTGTTCAGAAGAACAAAAATTTCTGCCCAGGTTGGAACCTGAACTTTCCAGTTTTTCCAGCTCTCCTGGTCATAGGCCCAACCTTAGGAAGGCAGGTTCACCTTAAGTTATGCTAAAGAGATGGGAAGACCTAGTACATTAATGAGATGGTGAACTTCTGCTGCCCCGAATCCCTGCCCCCTAGTGCATGCAGTGTTTATCAACTGGTTAGAGACATGCAGTCTCCATAAGTCTTCCCGTTTTCTCTGATTTTTTCAGAAAAGTGTAACCTCTCCTTTCCTTGTCTCCTCTCTAGTCATGCTTTCCCTAATGCTTTGGGAAGCCTCAACATCTTGGATTTCTTGACTGTTTTTCTAAAGCTCCCTTCCTTCCCTGCCTTGAGGCTGCTAGTCCGCCACCAGGCAGGCTCTGAAGGGCGTGACTTCAGGGCTTCTTTCCTTCATTCCATTCTCCTTCCAAGGGCAGTGGCTGAGATTTATGGCTTGCTGGTTCTGAGGACTTTTTCCTTAAATTCTAATAAAATTGTCCCAAAACTTCCATTTGAATTTATTCTTAAATTCTTTTATGAATAAGGCTAAGATCCCTAAAAGGGGCCCCGTTTATCCCCTTTATCATTATGCTCCCTAGCAAATGTCAAGAAATTCCTTGCTGTGACTAAGCTGCTGATAATAGACTATGACTGTTTTATCTTATTTTATTTTTTTTTATCAGCAATGGAGACAATTTCATTCAAATGGGTATGTTTATGCCTGCTTCCCAAGTGTTAGTGAACTAACCCAAACTTGCCTTCTACTCCTCAGGGGCGGTTAAAACAATATAAGGATGAGAAAATGGGACATTTTTCAAATAGTCTCCTGATTTGCTGACAATTGATTAAATGTGTGGAAAACCATTCAAGAAACAATGTCAGGGACATTTTCAAGGGTTTCCTTTCTTTCTAAACCTCGTAGTCAATGCTTAAGTCATTCTCAAACATGAAATTAATGACAAAGTATGTAAAGTACACGGAACAATCCAATTTCCAGGCTGATACTCCTTCCTAACCCCACTCAGAAATGCAACTGCCTTTGTGACATTTTCACTTGGATATCTAATAGACTGCTCAATAGCAGCATCTCCAAAACAAAACTCACTTTACTCCTCCACACCTGGTCCTTCCATCAATATATCCACCTCGGCTGATAGTAAAAGTGCCTCTCCAGCTGTTAAGTTCAAAATTTAGATTTGTATTTCCCTCACACTCTGCACCTAATCTATCATATTGACTACATTTTCAAAACAGGCATACAATCTGACCCTATCTGATCACCTCCACAACTGCCACCTTGTCCTAAGAAACATTTTACTTGAATTCTGACCATGGAGTGTACCCATGGGGGTCATAGAACAACTTGATGAAATCAGTTCTTTCCTGTGCATCCTGGAGTCAAACTCAGGTCTTCAGGCTTGGGGGTAAGTGCCTTTACCTGCTGAGACA